GTCGATTTCTAATCGGATCCAGATGATAGAAAGTCTACATCTGGGTACATTTTCACGGTAGGATCGTGTGTTGTTTGCTGGAAAAGTAGCAAACAGGGGTCCACGGTAGATTCCACAACCGAAGCCGAATTCATTGCCGCAAGTGAAGCTGCCAAAGAAGCTGTGTAGATGAAAAAGTTTATTCACGAATTGGGAGTAGTTCCATCCATCACATCACCCATTTTCTTGTTGTGTGACAACAATGGAGCTATCGCTCAGGCTAAGGAGCCATGAGCCCACTCAAAGTCGAAGCACATCGAGAGGAAGTACCATGTACTGCGGGAGATTGTTGGTAGAGGGGACGTCTTGATTCAGAAGGTAGTGTCAGCGGAGAATGTAGCAAACCCATTGACTAAGCCACTAACACAGAAAGTGTTTGAGAAATATGTGGAAAGCATGGGACTCCAGCTTATACCGGATTGGACCTAAGTGCAAGTGGGAGCTATTAGACAGTGTATGCCCTTAGCTCCAATCAGATTGATGTACTTATGACATGTATTGTAAATGAATAAAGTGCATGTTTGATTCATGTTATTGTAGTGTGTTTTTGTGTAATACCCTTAAACCAGACACTTATGAGACTCGTGTTAGTTTAGAATGTTCATAGCCGTTGGATAAGTCTGGGGAGATTTATCCTGCTAAGGCTGACACTAATGTAACGCCAAGTGTTGGGGTGGCCTGTCTCAGCTGCCAGGGTGAGACCCGAGGTACATGTAGTGTGGGTTTACTTGAAAATCTGAACCGAACCAGATTTCCAGCATTGCCCTGGACCTTGGTGATTAGTGGGCAAAACTGGAAAGTTACACCTGACCCCTACACTCGATTATGATACTGCACTAGGTGTCGGATTGGGTTGTCATTGATATGCCAATCAGTGAGATCCTTAGCGGGAGTCAAAACCTGGGTATGTTGGGACAATCCGAGAATTTATCTGAGTGGGTGATCATAGTGACAGGATCACCCCCTTTGTCGGACAAAGGTAATGATCGGGGATGCACTTTCTCTGATGGAACCAAGATTGTCGATAGCCGATTTCAATCGTTGAAATTTGTTTTGCAAAATATACTTATATTACGGTTTCGAAATGTTTGCAAATGGTTTTAATTCCCGGGATCCATGTGAGTAGAGAGTGCAGCACTGTTCTTTGCAGCCGTGGGAGAGGTCATTCTCTTGTCAGGCAGTGTATAATCATTATGAGCTGAGAGGTTAAGTGTAAGACCATTGAGGGTAATACCTGATGGGATAATCTTGCATCTACCCACAGTCCTTGGGTTTTTATAAGGTGGCTTGGCCCAGGGACCACTTAGTGTAAGTATTGGGCCCATTAGGAGTCCATGTGATGGGCTTCAGGGGGTTCAATGTCTTTTCAGTGAATTCGGCCAAACCTTGTAATAGAGGTTGGGCTGAACCCATGCAACTGATGTGTAGATCAATGTTTGGGTCCCATGCCATACAAAAAAGCCCAACTTGGTAGCAATTTAGAAGAAGTTTGAGCACTTAGAATTCATGGGCCTAAAAGCCCATTTCGAACTGGCCTAATTTGACTAGTTAAATAAAGGGGCGGATCTAAGATTAAATCAGCAAATAGGATAGGGTCTTACCCTATCCACTCAGAGAGTCCAGATCTGAATTCAGATCTGGAAACCTCCTAATGAGATTAGGAGATAGCTTATCTAATTTGCAGATAAGATAAGGGCTTATCCTTATCTCTTAAAGAGAACTCCAAATCCAAATACAGATTTGGATTAGGAAACTCCTAATGAGATTAGGAGCTCTCTTTAAGCCTATATAAGGAGGAAGGGGGCGAACCATTCAAATCATCCCAAATACTCCAGCCTCCCAGAGATACAAGATCTCAAAACATAGAGAGAAGTCGAATACAGTGTGACTGTGCCTTCTCCCTGCATTCTCCTCCTGCCGCCGCCATGCTGCTAGTTCGTTCTCCAGTTTTGTAGGAGTGATCAAGATCAGTTCTTGATATCAGTCTTTGGAGAAAGACCGATTTGAAGTTATGCTCACTGCCTCCATCAAATTCTTGTGAAGGGTTCGGTTCTTGGGAAGAACACTGCTGATTCTGCTCCACCCTACACTGTGTCATCTTTAGTGGGAGCAGTCTTTGGAGATTTTCTTTGGGCGTGAACACCTTCATTGGGAGACATTGCATCTTCGTATCAGGTATATCCCTCTCCTACTATTTTGGTTCAGATCTGGTTCGGTTTTGGTTCAAGATTGATCCTTGAAAAAGCAATTTTCTAAAACAGGGATTTTCTTTGGGCGTGAACACCTTCATTGGGAGACATTGCATCTTCGTATCAGGTATATCCCTCTCCTACTATTTTGGTTCAGATCTGGTTCGGTTTTGGTTCAAGATTGATCCTTGAAAAAGCAATTTTCTAAAACAGGGAATGCGATTCCCAGATGGGGAGAAAGGAAATTTTTGAAATTTCGCCCTACCTTCCTGCAAGGTTCGACCATCCATATGATGGATCTCTCATCCCTTCACTCGCTTCACCGTCCGAGCCATGGTCAGACAACCTATCCTCCACTAGACTACCATGGTGGGAAAGAAGACAAGCCTACCAGTGCCTGGATCTCATAGCGGTGGCACAGCTCGATTATCTCTTCACTAGACAGCTCGATCGGGCTGAAGGAAGACATGGCCTACTCGACCTCGTGCTTCTTTCCCACCATGGCACCACCACAGAACACACCAAATGAGTGAATGAGTCCTCCCCTGAGGGACTTGCTTCACCGTTCGAGCCATGGTCAGACAACTTATCCTCCACTGGACTACCATGGTAGGAAGGAAGACAAGCCCATCAATGCCTGGATCGCGTTAGACACGCGCTAATGCCTCAACATAGCCACTATGAAAGGGTGAAGAGGAAAGCGAAGACCCACGACTAGCGCCTCCTCATAAACGCATAGAGTGTTTCGGTTATGGTCCAAGGGGTAATGACCGGCCAGTGGCTCAATCCAACTAAGCTTGTTGGGGATCTCGTAGCGGCGGCACAGCTCGCTTATCTCTTCAGTAGACAGCTCGATCAGGCTAAAGGAAGACATGGCCTACTCGACCTCGTGCTTCTTTCCCACCATGGCACCACCACAGAACACACCAAATGAGTGAATGAGTCCTCCCCCAAGGGACTCGCTTCACCGTCCGAGCCATGGTCAAACAACCTATCCTCCACTGGACTACCAGACATGGTGAAAAAAGCTTGAATACTCACCGAAAAAATGGAAGAAACCTGGAAAAACAACAATGGAAGAGCTCAAACTAGCAAGAAGATGGAGCTCAGCTTGGCAGACTGGTTCAGATTGCAGAACCGCAAGAGATACAACGGTGCAGATTTCGAGTGCGCAAAACAGCCAGGCTACAGCTATCAGGGCACGCGCGGGAGCGAAATTTTGAGCGCACAAATTTGAAAGTTCAAATTTTCGAAATCGCACGCACAAACAAAGCACGTCGATTTTCAAATCTGTGTGCCCACCAAAGATCCCACGTGCGCTCGAAATCCTTCCCTCCCTTTTCATTATTTGAAATTTTCAGAAGCGCAACTCAGGTAGCAAACCAAACTCGGTCGAGCTGGGGTACCCGTGAACCAGACCGAACCAAATACCCCCAGAAGAACCTACTCTCTTTGCCAAATAGACATCGGTTCGAGAGTGGGGGGCAATTGATGAGGAGTAATTTGGCCCTCCGAAACAAATGATGACACGTGGTCGTTATCAACAATGTAGTGCCAAGTCAGTAGACCAACTCGGTGGCTTAGCTCGAAGCACCTCGCTCAGACCGCTCTTGACCTTGGCAAGGGCAAGCTAGTGGGGCCTCTAAGATTGCTGGCGACCTAGCCAAGAAGTCAGCCAAGTTGAGGCGAGCTAGCATGACCCACGAAGGTGAGCTCATCTAAAAGCCCTCACATCCCACTCCCGAGGCCGTCGATATTGCAACTGTTGAAGCAATTCGCCGCACTATATGCCACGATCTAAGCGGACGAACTATAATTGTCGTGCAAATCTAGTAACTGACCCATTAATACACCCCATATTGCAGAAACAACTCCGCCAGAAACTCAGGGGCGTTGCCAAAGCCTCCTAAACCTCTGATAACTATAAAAAGAACTCGAGTTCACCTAGGGAGGTATGTCCACTCATACTCTCTAGCTCTCTCACACTCTCTAAGAAATCCCCATTCACTTACTGACTTAAGCATAGGAGTATTCCCCCCGGGTAAAAAACACTCGGGCACTCTCACTCTGCTCTCCTTGCAACTCGCTTTAGCTCGGACATCTAGGCATCAGCTCGGCCACACAGCTTGGCCTATCCAGATTGACACACAATTGGAGTTTGAATCACAGTACACGAGGGAACGTTCAGATTACACGACATCTAAGTACAAATGCAAATATATACGGTGCAAATACATATAAAATAAATCAGTTTGGATGAAATATAAATACAAATATGTAGACAAATACACACAAAATAATACAAAATACAAGCTCTACCCATTTATATTTGTTTTTATTTTTGTTTTATAATAACACTATTAACACTATAAATTTGTATTTGTACTCCTTCCAACAGCCTTAACGTTTTTTAAAAAAGAGCCAAAAAAAACCTGATAAGTGATAAGCCCGAATAAGTGTCGAGATTCGATCGGTGAGAATTGGAACTCACTGCCATCTCGTGAATCCCGACAGAGAGATCCAGATGCTTCACGACAGTTGGGAACTTGTCCGAAGCTAACACGTGTTCAAATCGATTTCTAGATCCACGGCCACGGGTGGAGAGGGAGAACGGCTTTAACTAGACAGAAATGCCGTTTGACCTGAGACTGGTCTATGGTTAGACGGCTGGGATGATCTGTTAATCATCAATTTACTACTCGACGGTTTGAAACATGTTAATCAGGTCACGATAAAGACGTACCTTTTTTTTTATTATAGTCCCGTACACATTTTCTTACTAACGAACTGACCGGTGATCATAAATCGGGAATCGGGAGTCAGTGACGACGTCAACTGTAGAGTGCAGACTGCGAGTTCATAGATTTTCGTCTGTATCTGTAATTAAAACACTCAAGAGCAGAAGGAAAAGCTCAGCGTTCTTCTGTCTGGTTTTGTTTGTTCTTACGATGGAGAATAAGCAACCAAGCAGCGAGTTCGGCGATTCTGGTTTCCCGGCGGAGCTGGAATACCAATCAGGCTTCGGCAACCATTTTTCGTCCGAGGCGATTCCCGGAGCTCTGCCTCAGGGCCAGAACAGTCCACTCATGTGCCCGTATGGTCTCTACGCCGAGCAGATCTCTGGCACCTCTTTCACTTCACCTCGCAAGGTTAACCAGAGAAGGTCTGTTTCAGTTTCTTCCTTCTCATATTTTCCTTGGTAGATGTTTCGAATTTCAATTGATTTTGTTCAATTTATTTATTTATGAGGAACCATTGGATGGGGTGATATATGTTAGTAGAAATTTATCCGGAGAAGGCGGAATACGCAGCAAAAATAGGAATTTTAAATTAGGTTTGTCTGAATTTTCATTTAAGTTGGATATTTTAAGATTTCTTCGATGAACGGTCTTTTTTCTATGATTAACATCTTCTGAAGCTATAATTAATTATGCTTTTTATCCGGCATTATTTTAATGGCTTTACTGTTGTTGATGCTGACTTTGTAGACGATATATGTGTTGGTATTTTTTTGGGGAAAAATGATGGTGGCTTATTTATTTCTATTTTGCTGGCAGTTGGCTGTATCGTATCAAGCCATCAGTTACCCATGAACCATTCAAACCTCGTATCCCTAGCCACAAGAAACTTGTGAGCGAGTTCAACCAGTCCAACAGTTCCGCTAACCCAACTCAACTGCGGTGGAAGCCTACAGAGGTTGCTGATTCACCAATTGATTTTATTGATGGGCTGTACACAGTGTGTGGGGCCGGGAGCTCTTTCCTACGCCATGGATATGCCATTCACATGTAATTGGTATTTCTTGGTTGCTCCATTATTTATCTAATTTCTTCCATGATGATCAATTTTTTTCCTAACTATTTATGTTCTTCTTAGCTTGTTTGAGATAATCCGCTTCCCAGAACGAAAATTTCAAATTGTAATGGTTACATAGCTTTGTGGGTGAATACATATACATGGAAAGAAGGCCTATATTAACATCTACTTTACATATTGAAGCATAACCTATCGTTATTCATCCGTTGGAATCTACATTTCAGACTAGTGGCTCCAAGACCAATAAACTTCTAGCAGAAAAAGTGGAAAAACCAATAGTGTAACTGGAGCAATAATATGTTTTAAAACCCCTTAATTATAATTATAAGTAGTTAGTGAAATATTAATTTAAACAAATTGAAATGCCTGAGAGAAAAAGATAAAGTCTTAGTGCTAGAACACCATTGACATAAGCCAAGGCTCAAGTCATGAGACCACACGTCTCTTAATACACCTCAAATTGGGCCTCAAGTGGTAATTTCATATTCCTTTAGGAATATTAGCAGTTAATAACCTTTCTTTCCTCCCTCCCATATCCTTATATTGCTTGAGTGGTTTCTCTAGTAGTTTAGTTGTTTTAACAGAATATGTCATCTAGAGGTTAACTGACTGAATCAGGATTTCCTCCTCCCAGAATGGTCCTCACATCCACCTCACAGAACTTGCAGCAATGCATTCGGAACATCTCCCCATGAATGAAAACATACAAGTACGGGAGATGTCCCTGATGCGAGGCTGTAAATTCTGTGAGGGCCAATTATGTGAGGAGGAAATCTGAACTCTGACTGAGGATGCATCTAAGGTTCCTCCCATGAATGATTTATTCTATTGCCTCCTCATCAGGTTTTTAAAAAGACTATTTACTTCATTGATTTCACTAGCAAATAATTTTAAGGGCTGGAATCAAGAGATTGATTAGGTGATACAGTATTTTAAGGGTGGTTCAACAACAAACACAATGATATTGTTGGCATTCAAAGCCTTACAATTTTGTTTGTTCTGAAAGATAAAATGAAAAGAAGTCTTAAAGACATACACATACTGAAACAATAAGCATGAAGCAGTTATCTGGTAGCAGCTTTTGGAGTCAATTGATGCACTCACAACAGAACTTTTGCAAGTGTTGCACATGCAAGTGGGTGGTAGAGCAATTAGCTTTATATGAGGCATCTTTCATATGGTTCAAGGGCTCCTGTTTCTGATAGAAGTCGTACAAGACTACAGATATTCTTTAGATTTTGAACAGAAAATAAAAGAAAGGAAGAGAAGAGGAGAAGAGTAGAAGAGAGATAGAGAGGAAGAACTCGTGGAAGGACTTTTGAGAGAAGAGAGTGGTTGGTGTAATAAAACAGCCACCCCACCCTTTGAATTTATATACATAGTTTCCTTATTGTAAAAGAACTTAATGCTTACATGGCAAGATAAGATAATTAAAAACTAATCCTAGATAAGATAGAATAAGATTAAAACTAATCATACTAGGAAAGCTGATCCTAATCAATGACTTAACTAAATCTAAGTACAACTCAGGTTGTCACACGAGTACACTAATGTGGGGTCCACAGTTTCCTACACTCCCCTTCAAGTTGGGAGTAGATGTTTGTCATTCCCAACTTGCATAGGTCTTCTTCTAACTTCTTTCTTGAAACAACCTTGGTAAGAAGGTCTGCAAATTGCATGTCGGAGGTGATGTAAGGGAGGCATACTTCTTGAGATGTAACCCTTTCTCTAATAAAATGCCGGTCCACTTCAATATGCTTAGTTCTGTCATGTTGTACTAGATTATGGGCTATATTAATGGCAGCCTGATTATCACAGTACAACATTAGGGGCTTCTCATAAATAATACCCAATTCCTCAAGTAATGGTCTTAACAATAGAATCTCAGCCACACCATTTGCCATGGACCTATATTCAGYTTCAGCACTKGAACRAGARAMAACACTTTGTTTCTTACTCTTCCAGGAGACCAGATTACCTCCTACAAAGGCACAATATCTAGAGGTAGATCTTCGATCATGAACCCACCCAGCACAATCAGCATTTGTGTAGACTTCTATCTTCATGTGGTCATTTTTCTTGAACAAAATGCCTCTGCCTAGGGACCTCTTTAAATACTGACTTACTACACTGACTGCATAACTGATGTTGGGTCGTGTGAGGCAAAGATAGAGAAGTTTTCCAACTAACCGTTGGAATATAGCTTTATCTTCAAGAGGCTCTCCACCCTCTGCACTAATCCTGTGGTTCTGTTCAATAGGTGTGTTCGTAAGCTTAACTCCCAATTTTCCTGTTTCTTCTAGCAGATCAAGGACATACTTTCATTGAGAGACAAAAATCCTATGCTTGGATCTAGCTACCTCAATGCCCAAGAAGTATCGTAGTTCCCCTAGATCTTTTACCTCAAACTCTTGATGAATAAGTTGCTTAAGAGACTTAATTTTACTAGTATCACTCCCTGTTACTACAATATCGTCAACATACACAACAAGCAAAGTTACGGAAGAATCCACTTTCTTAATGTCAATACTCTTGGCTGAATAGAGAAAAGAACAAGAATAATCTTAGAGGTGTCCAGAATGAATGACCCCCACCTCAAAGAGTCTCTTATATATTAAAAGATATGTACAATTACAAGAATGTCCATACAGGGCTGAAAGAGAAAAGAAGAATAAGATGTAAAAGTAATATACAACAGGGACTATACTAATAAGATACATCAAGTTATAGAATCTCCACACCCCCCCCCCAAATTGATGCCTCGACATAAGCATCAGTTTGTCTATAAGAAAGAGGTGTCGAACTCTAGTCATAGCTTTGGTGAAGATATCAGCAATCTGCATGTCCGAGGCTATATGAGGAAGCGATATAGACCCAATAGTGAAGAGATCTCAGATAAAGTGGCAATCCACCTCGATGTGCTTGGTCCTCTCATGGAAGGCAGGGTTAGATGCAATCTTGATAGCACTCGTATTGTCTGCATAGAGAGGAATAGGAGTTGGAACCTGAATGCCAATATCCATAAAGAGAGATTGTAACCAAACAATCTCACTGCAAACCGAAGACATGGCCCTATACTCTGCTTCAGTGGAAGACTTGGAGACTGTTTGTTGTTTCTTACACTTCCAAGAGATGAGTGAATCACCCATAAAAACACACCACCCAGATGTGGACCTACGAGTGTCTGGACAACCAGCCCAATCCGCATCAGCATATGCTCTCAACTGAATAGGAGAGGAGGAGAAGAACAGTCCCTGGGAAGTTGTGCTTCTAACATATCGAATGATGCGATAAACAGTAGTCATATGAGGTTAACGAGGAGCAGAAACAAATTGACTAACAACCTGGACAGCATGAGAAATATCAGGCCGAGTCATAGTGAGATAAATGAGGGACCCCACAAGCTAGCGGTATAAGGCAGCATCAGGAAGTAATGGACCTTCAGATTTAGATAGCTTAAGATTTAGCTCCATAGGTGTATCAACATGCTTTTCATCATTAAGACTAGCAAGTTTAACAAGGTCAGAGGCATACTTCTGCTGACAAACAAAACACCCTCGATCACTACAATGTACTTCCAATCCCAGGAAATATGTGAGAGGCCCCAAGTCTTTCATGTGAAAGGAATTATGAAGTAATAGTTTCAATTCACGAATGCCTTCAGCATCATTCCCAGTCAACAACATGTCATCAACATATAGTAGGAGAATGGTAATACCCTGAGGTCGTCGCCTAATAAATAAAGAGTGATCAGAAGAACTCTGGCTATATCCAGCAGCAACAACAACATCGCGAAAGCGTTCAAACCATGCCCGGGGAGCTTGTTTTAGACCATATAGAGATTTTTTAAGGCGACATACTAAAGAAGGATCACTGCAGTATCCAAGAGGAGGCTTCATGTAGACTGTCTCCTTCAACTGACCATGAAGAAAGGCATTCTTCAATCAAGCTGGCATATGGTCCAAGACTGAACAGCAGACACTGCGAAAAGAACACAGGTTGTGGTAATCTTTGCAACAAGAGCAAAGGTTTCTTCATAGTCAATACCATACTCCTGACTATATCCTTGGGCAATTAAACGTGCCTTGTATTGATCAAGAGATCCATCAGACTTCAGCTTAATGTTGTAAACCCAACGACTCCCAACAATGGATGCATCTAGAGGAGCAGGCACAAGATCCCAAGTGTCATTCTCATGTAAAGCATGAATCTCTACATCCATGGCTTCCTTCCAATGAGGGCTACTATTAGCTTCCTGGTAGGAGCGAGGAACATCTGCGGAGGATAGGATAGCAGAAAAAGAGCTATGGTTTGAAGGAAAATCATAGCGGTCAGGAGGTTTAGATATACGAGTAGAACGACGAAGAGGAACAGAAGTATGAAGAGTGTTTGAAGTAGAGGTATCACTTACAGTAGCAGTGATAGGATGATGATCTGAACCAGGAGGAAGGAGAGTCACAGGCGCAGGGGCTGGAGCACTAACCGCTTACGAGAGAAGACGAGAAAGTCCTTCTCAGCAGAAGGAGGTGGAGCATCTTGTGAATCAAAGTTTGGCGAAATGAAATGTGCTCAAGGAAAATAACATTACGTGATATACGAATGCGGCGAATAGAGGGATCATAACAAAGAAATCCTTTGTGGTCAGGACTGTAACCCACAAAGGCACACATGACAGACTATGCAGACAATTTAGAACGTTCACGAGAGGGAAGATGAACAAAGCACACACATCCAAAGACATGAAGCATAGATAAATTTGGAGAATGACCAAATAACTTCTGAAAGGGAGACATATTACCAAGAACTGGGGAAGGAATGTAGTTGATCAAAAACACAGTTGTACTGGCTGCCTCTACCCAAAAGGAAGGTGGAGTATGGGACTCCTGCAATAATATTCTCACAACACTAAGGATATGTCCATTCTTGCGCTCGACCACACCATTTTGTTGAGGAGTATCTGGACAACTTTGTT